CAAAAGCCTAGGTGGGGGAAAGCTGCTTGCTTCACAGTGGCCAGGAACAGAGAATGAAGGGAGGAGCTGGGGAGGATAATTCACCCATCAGGTCATGGCCCTAATGACCGGTGTCTTCTGACCAGGCCTCACCTCCTAACTTTACGCATAGCTACAGTGCTCCAATGATTCAATCACCTTTCCAAAGCTGTGCCTTTCAGTACATGTAGCTTTTGGTGGAAGTATAAATATAAACCATAATACTCTTTGGACTAATTTTGTCACTTTTCTGAAAATTTAAAACCAGTTCAAAATGAAGTTTTAAAACCATAAAAAAACAAAATGATCAAAGTTTATCATTTATATTTTTATTTTTTTTGAAATGAATCTTTATAACTCAATATTTCCTATTCAATTCTGCACATAAATCCTTGCTGCCTCTACATGAGTCCTTCTTGGGATTTCAGTTTCTAAAAGAGGTTTTGGGCACAAGTGAATTTATCACCATGTATCACTACTTTCCCCAGTATTTTGCCAATATATTTGTATCCAGATATTAAATTCATTATTGTTATATTTTCTCAAGGTAGTTAGCACTTTAGCCATTCTCTTTTTGAGCTGTTGTTATGATGTGGAATATTAAGTGAAGAGTCCCATTGTTCTGTAGTGGGACTAGTTTGATGTAATTTTATTTGGTTGTGTTTCATTTTTGTTTCCTGTGTTTTTTAGGATTTATTATGGTTAATATTATCAATTTAATAAACCAGTCTGAAGAGACAGATAGTGTTCTGGATCTATCAATTGACAGTGTAGAACTCTTCTTGAACTTCAAGAAGAGTTACCATAAACTTTCTGGAGTTACCATAAAAGTAGTATTGTATTCTCCACAATTCACAATTCAACTAATAGCAACATTTAGTAATATAGTAAGCAATATTTAGTAATTTATGAGTAGCCATATTTGGTAATATAGTAAGTTATATTAGGAAACAGAAGAGATTTGAACAAAATTAAATATTTGTACTTAATTGCATTGTTAGTCTTCAGATAGATAATGATGGATAGCTGTACTAGTTTCCTGATAAATGGACAAGAAACTGGCATTTGGATGGTATATATCTCAATGGTGGAGAAGGAACATTTTTTAGAGAATTTGAGCAGAGTATACTAGGGGGAAAAGTACAGACATATTTGTGAGACCTCAGTATGAGGCAGAGCAATATGAAAAGATAACCCAGGGCTAGTTGTACTTAGATTATAGGCATATAGACAAAACCCAGGCTATGAACTTGTCATTCTTAACATAGGCTGTTGTATCTGTCAGGGTACCAAAATGATTCATGGAATCCAGAGCAGAATCAGGCATAATTCTTTAAGAAAGAATGAACTCAGTATTTACTGAATTGAATAAGTCATCAAGAAAGATGAGCTGATAGACTGGGGTTTTGAGAATGTTGAAGTCAGTGCTTAGTCTTGAGCCCTTGTGAGCTTATCTTAATTTTTCCTCCCTGTCACCCTGGAAAAGGATGGAATGTTAGAGCCGTAAACGATATTTATGTGGTGTCTAGCTATAGTGTTATAATTCTGTATTCCCTAAGTGGTTTAGGGAAATACACTGCGTAATGGCCAGATTCTTCTGATGAAGCCCTAACCTCCAAGGTTTTAGGAGCAAGTCTTTGAGAAGTGATTTGAGCCCATAAGAATGGAATTAGTGGTCTTATAAAAGAAAAGTTCCAGAGAAGTCCTTTGCCTTTTCTTTCATGGAGGTTATAGTGAGAAGTTGGTGTCTATCAGAAGGGAGCACTTAACAACTTCTGAACTGCCAATACTTTGATATTACTTTCCTCATCCTCCAGAACTTTCAGGAACAAATTTCTGTTGTTTATATGTCATCCAGTTGTCAGCATTATTATAGCAGCACAAACAAACTAAGAAACTTAGTGTCTTATATTTGTCATTTGAAAGCTCTGAAAAAAGTACTGTCTGACAATTATGAGTAGTTCTGTCCTGAGGTCTGTGCCCAGTACTGTCTCTAGTGCACAGAATGGCTGGAATGGCACTGATTTGGGCAAGGTAACCCAGGCTTGGACTGAACCTCACATGAGTGTTGCTTGTAAGAAGTTAGGGTTGCTAACTTAGCAAGTAAGAATGCAGGACATTCCAGTTAAAAAAGTTACACTGGCATTAAAAAATATTGCATGGGCAATACTCATACTACAATTTATTTTTGTTTTCCGAAAATAAATTATAAGAGTGCATATTGCTGTACTAGTCATCTTTCTCTGGTGAGGACAAAATACTTGACATGCACAAATTAAAAGAGAAAAGGTTTATTTTGCCTCACAGTTTCAGTGGTTTCAGTTGATGGTCAGCTGACTCCAAGACAAAGCATCAGAGGGAAGTGCAAGGTGGAAGAAAGCAGCTCACATCACGGCAGCCAGGAGAGATGAGAGGACAGCGGAGTGGAGGGCAGCAGAGGGCAGAGGAAAGGTGAGAGAAGAAGGACCCAGCACCACATAGAGTCCCTAATGTCGCATTCCTGTGACTCGCTTAGACACAACAGGATTGCAACTGACTAATTTCCTAGGAGTCTTTCAAGACATTCACGTTGAAAATCAAGATTAACCTTCACAAATATATGCCTCTCTTCTCATTATATTTCACCACTTATTGGATGGTAGCTATCATTTATTTATTTTGCAAAATTTCCTTATGAAACTCTTTGCAGTTTCACTTTGATCTGTCATTTACATGGTGACATAGATTTTATAGGGGTCGTATCCGATCTCTTTAATTCTTTTGTACACTGAGCATTGAAGCATTGATTAGTTGGAAAACATGCTCAACATCTGCATTCTGTGTCCGGGCTGATCATGTCTTTGTATAAAGTTAGCAACTTAAGAGAATTGGCTTTTCAAGTTTGATTTTTTGGAGGCAAATAATATTGTATTTTATGGAACACATTGGTTTCCTATGCTCTATGTCTTACCCAATGACACTTTAAAATTTCTATTCTCTTTTTTAATACTATGCATAGTAATTTCAGTAGTTTCCATGCAAGAAGAGTATTTTGAAACACATATGTAAAAGAATTGCATTCTTCAAGAATTAAACTGCTTGCACTAAGTAGTCATTGTAACTGTAACAATTACTTCAAGTCAGAATTTCTTTTCTATTTGAAAGTAAATTTTTGGGTCAGAGACTTGCACTATCTGCCACTAGTGTCGTGCCAGTGTGTGCAGACCTTGTATGTGTATTTTAACAGAGCAAATTCAACGCTTGTGTTATTCTGTTTCTGTATCTGGTTATATCTGTTTCTTGGGTTAATGAGACTACCATTGATGCATATCAAATCTGAGAATCCAGGATTAAATGTCAAAATAAAGGTGATTATAAATTAATTTATTAAGAACAAAGTATTGTTTTGAAGTAAATATCACAGATTTCTGCCGTATGTCCCCAGCAGCATTGTCAGTTCTGATTTCCATGTCTTGACTGTTTTACCTGGGCAGCAGTCTTATATTGCTTTTTCCAGAAAGTGCAAGTCTAGAAGAATTATTGCTCTTTTGGTTTGCACAGTTAAATTGCATTAGCAACTTCATTTTAATTGCTTCCCAGGGACTTCATCACAAAATTACTAGAAAGTTTCTAGATTTATCCCATCCACACTGTGAACTTTAAATTGCTTTGGGGGTTAGAAATATCCTCAAAGCAGCAAACTTTTTAAGTTGCTTTGGCACTCCACTGACTTGTCTTTTAAAGGAGCTTTCACAACAAAACGACCGTAAACTGCTTCTACTTTCGTTGTTACTGGAAGGGGATTTTATTTTGCCCCTGGTAAATTTTTTTTTCCTAATAGCAATGGTAAATACTTGATTTTTAAGGAAAACTGAGAAAGAAGTAGTTATCTTACTGAAGTTATTCAGGTAAAATTTATGAGATTAGCAATCTTATAAATGTAGGGTTTCTGGTGCTGGCTTTATATTTGATGTGTGGTACTGAGGATTGAATCCAGAACCTTCACACTAAGCTATTTCCCTCCAGGACTTGTGAATTTGTCTTATTTTGAGACAGGGCCTCACTAACTCATTGAATAGCCCAAACTATTCAACTTCCTCAGGATTCTAGAGAGCTGGACTCCTAGCTGGCATTTTAATATAGAAATATTCCAGTGTAATGGAGATAAAAATTAATGACAGTAAATTTCTACATTTAAGAATGTTTAAGTGATGCATCTCTCTTAGTCATGGGTATTTCTGAATATCCATTGAGGAAGACCAATAGAACAGTTGTTGGAGCTGCCGTAGCTGACTTTCTATAAGGAGAAGGTAATAGACATTTTCTCACACCTGGAGGTAAAAGAGAACGTGCCCTTTTACTGAAATTTTAAAATCTGTATATTTATTTGAGACTTGATAAAGCTTTTCTGAGGCAAATTTACTACTCATTATGGATAGTGACCTAGAAATAAGTTGTACTGGAAAATGACAAAGAAAAATCATTTTTATCTAAAATGTTATTTATTACAAATACTATTGCTAATGCTCTAGTTAATATTCTAGTTAATATTAATATAACTTATTTATTTATTTTTATTTTAAAGAGAAAACTAAATTTCAAAATTAGGTAATAGGAGGGTAAAATGGTTAATATATTGAGTATTGTTATCTTTAAATTAGTTACTTAGAGTAAAAGATAAAGGCATTTAATTGTACAAAAATATTAGCACAAATCTTTCTTTTCAATGAACTAAGAAATTCACAGTATAACTATCTTAACTATCATATATATATTTTGCTTTTCCCTTCCTTCTTTTCTCCAACCCAGTTTCTCCTTCCTTTTGAACAATTTCTTCTCATTTTACAATATCTATTGTACATTTTGTATCTTATTTACTCTTAAACGTGATGTTTGCGTATAATATTATTATATTTTAGATATTTCTATTTCCCCCAAATTAAAAATAACCCAAAATTCTTTTTCTAAAAATATAACTTTTATATTTGTTCCTTTACCAAATATACTCTTTTGAAGCTGACATTAAGTTAGCATTGGACCAGGATTTACATATATCTCTTTATTTTAATAATTAAAGAATAGCGATTTTTGTTAAGGACAGCACATTTATTGCAGAAATAATTAGGTTATTTGTGATGGTTAAAATCGGTGGACAATGTTATTTTGTACACTATAGATTTATTATGGAATTTCTGGTCAAAATTTTATGGCAACTTTGCATGAAAGTTATTTCCACTTCACAATGGAATTTAGATAAATAGTTCTAACTCAGGTGCATTTATTCATAACTTATTGTCTGACAAGGGCATATATATGAGTGCTAAAGCCTCATTCATCAGGTCTTTGAAAGTCCAAGTGATCTTAATTTAGAACATAGTAACATATTCTCGTGCTATTTATGTATCCAATTATAGGTTGCAATTACCCATAAGGGAATCCAGTAAGAATGCAAAAAACTCTTACGACAGTACTGTAGCAGAGCTGCATGCGTCTCAGCCACTGCAGAATTCCTGTTGGTGAACAAACATAACAAGATGGGAAAGTCCAATCAGTCTTCTGTGACAGAATTTGTCTTGCTGGGACTTTCTGGCTACCCAGAGCTGGAGGCCATTTACTTTGTTCTGGTCCTGTGTATGTACCTGGTGATCCTGCTGGGAAACGGTGTTATCATCATTGTGAGTGTCTATGACTCCCATTTGCACACCCCTATGTACTTTTTCCTCAGTAACTTATCATTTTTGGATATCTGCTACACTAGTTCTTCTATTCCCCTATTCCTCAGTAGTTTCTTAACGTCAAAGAAGACCATTTCCTTCTCTGGATGTGCAGTACAAATGTTTCTTTCATTTGCTATGGGAGCCACAGAGTGTGTCCTTCTAAGTATGATGGCATTTGACCGCTATGTGGCCATCTGTAACCCTCTGAGATACCCCATCATCATGAGCAAGGCTTCCTACGTTCCCATGGCTGCTGGGTCCTGGATCGCAGGAGGTGTCAACTCTGTGTTGCAGACTTCTCTTGCAATGCGGCTTCCTTTCTGTGGGGATAATGTCATTAATCATTTCACTTGTGAAATCTTGGCTGTCTTAAAATTGGCTTGTGCTGATATTTCCATGAATGTTATTAGCATGGCTGTTGCTAACATGATTTTTCTTGTGGGCCCAGTACTTTTCATTTTTGTCTCGTATGTTTTCATTCTCTCCACCATTCTGAGGATTCCTTCTGCAGAGGGGAGACGCAAAGCCTTTTCTACCTGTTCTGCCCATTTAACAGTGGTTATTATATTCTATGGGACCATCCTCTTCATGTATGCTAAACCTAAGGCTAAAGACTCTTCTGGCGCAGACAAAGAACAACTCAGAGACAAAATTATCTCTCTCTTCTATGGCGTGGTGACACCTATGCTCAATCCACTTATCTACAGTTTGAGGAACAAAGATGTGAAAGCAGCCGTGAAGAATATACTGTACCGGAAGCGTTTCTCAGAGGAAAAGTGAATGCTATTCTAGTAAAAAATTTTTTTTCACTCTAAATGCAAGGCTAATTCTCACCTGAAGTTTCCAAAATAAATATAAGAGCTGGTAATAACCACTAATTCTTGAGATTCTTGTTTTTCTGTTTCTGTTATTTAAATAAAAGAGTAATAGAGGGCTAACATTTTCCCTTCATGACAAATTAAGGAGAGGAGAAAGAGACATTGTTAAGAAATTCTGATCCAATCTGTGCTCTTCCTCATGGATAACAATTTAGTTTTTTTTTTTTTCCTTTTTTTTTTTCATCGGTACCGGGGATCGAACTCATGACTGCCTGCTTGCAAAACAATTTAGTTTAAACCTAGAATTCTGACTTCTGTAATCTTATGCAAAAGGAAGTACCATTTTACTAACATCCTCTTATCTCCTATGTACATAAATTGTCTTGTCATATTCTTCTTAAGATCAAGTAGAAAGCATCTTATTAAGAATCTGAGTGCTATATAAACTCAACATTAAGTAATTCTTTTTGTATATCTTTGTCAATGTTTGCATAACATATTGTTTACACTCCTGGTATAGAGTTGGTACAAGTATATAACACAGGGTAATTCCTCTCTACATTCCCTTCCCTTCCCCCATCTTCGCCCCTCCCTCCACCTCTTGAGCCCTTTTCTATTTGATAAAGATATATCTTTCTACTTCTTATCTCTACCCTTGATTTTGCTCTTTATTTATAATTGAATTTCTCATGTAAGAGAAACTATATGATAAACTTTGGCTTGATTTATTTCATTTAAACTTATGGTCTCAAGATGCATCCATTTTCCTACAAATGATTGGAGTTTATCTTTTTTATAGCAGAGCAATACTTCATTTTGTGTAAATACCACATTTTCTTTATCCATCTGTTGGACTTAGGATGCTTCCAAGATTTGCCATTGTGAATTGTGCTACTGTAAACATGGGTATGCATGTGTCAATGTAATATGATTTTTAAAAACTCTGTCAGAGAGAGACCAAGAAGGGAACTAGCTGGTTTAAATGGAATTTTTTATTTTAGTTTCTTGAGAAATCTTCTTACTGGTATCCATAGTGGTTGTTCCTAACAGCAATGTAGAAGGGTTTTTTACCCTGCAGTCTTGCCAGCATTTGTTATTATTCGACCTCTTGATAATGGCCATTCTTTCTTAGGCATATTGGTGTGTTTTAATTCGAATTTTTCTAAGGACTAGTGATTTTGAACATTTCTTCATATATTTATTGACCATTTTTTCTCTCTCCTACTTCTCTTTCTCTTCCTCTTCTTTATCTTCTTTTTCTATGAAATTTTTATACATTTCAGTTGCCCGTTTTTTGACTGGATCTTTTATTTGGGGTTCTAACTTTCTAGAGTTTTTTACTTATTCTATCTATTAGTGTATTTTATGAGACAAGACCTTGCTATCTAAGTCAGGCTGGCCTTGAACTCACTCTATGTCTAGCCTCTAACTCACAGCAATCCTCCTGCCTCAGGCTCCTAGGTGCTGGGGTTACAGGCATGTGTCACTTTGCAGGGCTTAGATATTAGTCTTCCGTCACAATTATAGCTGGAAAAATTTTTTCCCATTCTTTAAATTTTTTTTTCACTCTGTTGATTTTTCATTACGCAAAAGTTTTTAATTTGATGCAATCCCATTTGTTGATTTTTTGCTATTTTCTGTGCAACCGGGGTTCTGTTCACAAAGTCCTTGTCTACATATATGATTTCAAGAGTTTTTATATTTTCTCTTCCAGCAGGATATACATTTTTGTTTTAGCACTTAGTTCTTTGATCCAATTTGATTTTAGCTTAATGCATGGTGAGGGGTATAGGACTAGATTCAATCTTCTGCATCATTTGTTAAAGAGGTTATCTTTCCTCCTCTGTATGCTTTTACCCCTTTCCAGTGATGAGTGAACTTCAGGATGTTTCTACCTTCTCTTTCTTGTTGCACTGACCTCATATCTGTTTTTATGCCAGTATCATGCTGTTTTTAATCATCGTAACTTTGGAATAAAACTTCAAGCTCAAAATTGTGATGCGCTCTTGTTACTGAGGGTTGCTTTTGCTGTTCTGGATATCTTTTGATGCCATAGAAAATTTAGGATTTTTTGTTCTCCAGTTCTGGTAAGAATGCTGTTGGTACTATATTTTGATTGGAATTTCATTAAATCTGTGTAAGAATTTTGGAATTATGGCCAGTTTGACCACATTGGTTATGCCTTCTAGGAGATCTCTTTCCATTTTTCTATTCCCTTTTTCACTGCAGTTTCTATTATAGGGGTCTTTCATTCCTTTAGTTAGATTATTTCATAAATATTTAATTTTTCTTGATGCTGTTGTAAATAGTATCTTTTCTCCAACTTATTTCTCAGTGGGCTCAATAGTAGCATATGGGAACACTATTGATTTTTGAGTGTTGATTTGTATTCTGCTAAATTACTGAAATTTATTAATTCTAAGTCTTTTGGTGGATCTTTCTGGATTATCCTTGTGGAAGAGCATATCAAGTGCAAATAATGATAATTTGACTTTTCCCTTTCCTATATGTATTCCTTTTATTTCTTTTTATAGCCCAATTGCTTTTGCTAATGCTTCAAATGCTGTGTTGTACGGGAGTGGTGATAGTGGGAATTCTGAACTTTTTCCTGATTTTAGTGGGAATGCTTTAATATGATGTTAGCAGTAGGTTTGTCAGGAATGGTTTTTGTCAACTAAGTTTCTTCTTTATTTTTATGGAGTGTCTTTATCATGAAAAGTTGTTGGATTTTGTCAAAGGCTTTTTCTGTGTCTATTGATATGATTATGTGACTTTTGTCCTTGGTTCTGTTAATGTGATGTATTATCTGGGTACATATCTATTAAGGGCTACTTCCTGAATTAGCACCAAAGGGCTCCATACAAGTGCAAGGTTGTGAGTTCGATCTCCAGTACCAGAAACAAAAACAAAACCAAAAACAAAAATGAAAAAGAAAAATATTTTGGATCATATAAAAGTCACACAAGCCAACATAGCCAGGGTTTAATTCTATTCTCTGGTTTATATTTCTCATATTGATTTTGAGTAAGTTAAATACAAAGAGGTATTTCAAGAGGATAAGAGGAACTATGAGAAATTCTTAAAAAGCTAAGAAATTATTATGTCTATTAATGATGTTGACATTTTTCTGAATAATTAAAATTTTGACTGTGAATTAAAGTTTTTATCAGTTTATGTTGAAAAATGAAATTCTTCCAATGCAAAGAAACATTTGCTCCAAATTGCAATATAACAATGTTTTCTAAAAACTGTCTTCCAATATTTTGAGTTATTTTGAATTTTGTTCTTAAAAATTGAATAAGAGTTTGTAATATAGTTTTGGGGAAAAATGAAAAGCAGAAAGAGTGATTTGTGGGGCAGCACTAACACATACAGGTCATTGTGCACTCAAGGTCAAGTTTGTATGAAGGGAAAATATTTAGAATAAAGTTATTTATTGGTTCAGAACCAGAGAGAATTAGTGTGCTTTCTATTTTCTTGTCAACTGATTATCAAAGAATAGCATATAATGATAACTTTTTGTTTTGTCCACCTTCGGTGACCTCTTCAATGTATCTTATTCAAACTTTTACACTCCTGGTTTACTCCTATATCTAAAGATAAGATCCTATTTTTCTAAAAGTGCTTGGAATTACAGGAGATGAACTAATATGTGAAGTCCATTTATTTTATTTGAAATAACTTGGATTTACAGTTTTCAATTTTAATAAATGAACTCAACAGTTAATTACTGCCTACTCGTCTTGTTAACTTGACACTGAGTCATGGTTGTGACCTTTAGCATATTTCAGAAGCCAACAAATGGTTATAGCATAAAAGTGAGCCACCGAAAGCAAGGTATAGATTAAGACAGCCTAGAGGAGTGAGTAACTAACTCTAGGGAAACACCGGACAGCTTTGCAGGGAATCTCAGATTCTGTCTGTCTGTTACAATATTGCTAAAATTTTACTAGAGAAGAAGGATTAATGTGTCAAACAGAAGAACCAGCATGTGCTATTAGTATCCTGAGCTTTGAAAAAACATTATAGAGCTGAGTAACAGAACCCAGTACATGCAAAGGGATAAGAGGGGCATGAAAAGAAGGTGAAATCCATAGAAAGAAATAGAGATTGAGATAAAGTAAGATCCCTAGAGATAATTTTAAAAAGTGTGAATGAAAATGGTTTCATTTCAAATATTTGTTGTCTTAATCCCATACATTTAGCTGTATGTTTTAGATCACTGGTCCCTACATTTTTGTGAGGTCAGTCATTTAAAAAAATACTAGATAACTCTTGAAATTTCTGAAATTCTCTTTCTGTATGTCACCTTTTTTTCTTTTAAAACTTCACCTCAAAATATGTCATCTTATTTTATTGGTGAACTCAAAGATGTCAGTTTTTCATATTTTCTTTCGGCACTGTTATTTGTTCGTGGATTATTTCACCTGCCCCAGCACTTCAGGCTAGGGCTGAACATGGGGGTGACCACTCCACACAATCAGTCAGTGGTTTGTCTGAAGCAGTGTCTTTGCATATTGGCTTCACTCACACGAAGAGGACTGTCCCATAAAACACAATCAGCAGGTGGGGAAAGTTCTCTTACTTCCTTCAGGTGAATTGATTTCAGTATGCTGTAGGTGATGAAAATATAGAAAACAGGAAATCACTGGTGTAAAAATGAAGCATTACATTTCCCAACAGTATTATGCACTCATTCAAAGAAGCACTGATGGAGGCCAGCATTATTAAAGATAACATTTCAGAAAGGAATCGCAGCAGTTTCTTGGTGTCCACATAACAGTCATACACTATCACTGTCAGGAGCGCACCCTTTGCAGACCTCATGGCATAGCAAAAAGGCAGTTGTGAGGAAGAGTTTTTTCTCTGATAAAAATTTCAACATCATTATGAGCCAAAAGCAGATGTAATTTATGTATTCTGAATGGAGGGCGAGACGTTGCTAGGCAATAAATACATAGGCAGGAGGAAGTAGGAAAGAATAAGAGCTAGGATGGACTGTAACCTAGATGCTATTCCCTGGGAGTGTTACCAGTTACATTACTAAGAAAATGACAAGAAGGAGTTTTTGTCAACTCCTGGATACTCCGAAAAACTGGTCTGAGAATAAACTCAATCTTTGTGGTCCAATTTTTCCCCTCATTTTTACTTTTCATAGCTAGAGTAATTTAGAAAAGAAAACAACATGTGAATTAAATAGTCACAAATTAGGTGAAGTAAAATGTAATTGAAACAGGTCCTACAACTGTGCTAGCACTAGCTGGAGCAGTGGTAAAAGAAGAGAGAAGAGTTACGGAATTCTTCTACCTCATAGAGCAATTTAGCTGTGTTTGTAGCTTGATAAATATTCAAATTTCTATATTTCACTTTTAGAGATGCTTGAGATCTGAGCCAAGGATGAACTATGTTCATTTTTAACATTTAGTTGTTTTTACTCATGCAGTTAACACAGACACTCCACTTTAAACTTTTGAGTGTTTTAATATGTTCAACAAAGACTGGTTTACTTGATTTTATGCTATGCCAATCATTATATCATTGAGTAAGAGCTTATAGTTTTCAAACCCATTCACATACAGCACTCGTTTTGTCATCACTATAATCCTTGAAGGAAAATGAAATCTAGAGATAAGGTTTATGTCAGATCAGTAATTGAGTGAGCTGCTATTCAAATCTTTTGTTACCCCACTTCAAATCTTATCTGTTTTCTTTTTTTTGACTACACTTTATCATTATTCAAATAGTATATAAGGTGGCTAGGGTTTGGGAATCAGACCTCCTGTTAAATAATGCTCTCCAGGTAACTGTAAATTACAACTAAGAAAGAGGGCCGCTGATCTAGTCCAGTGCTTCTCAGACCTCATGACTTCCAGGAATCACCTGGGTATCTTTGTAGAAGATTCTGATGCCATAGATCTGAGTGGGTGCTGATAACTCCATGTATTAACAGGCTCCAGGGGAGCTTGCTCATCCATAGAACACACCTGAATATGTTCTCACATGACGCCACCTCCTTCCAGTTTCTTGGCACCTCTGGTTCTTTAGTGTGCAATGGTAATTAGTAGCCAATGTGAAAGTTGAAGGTAAGACTATTATGCAGCTTTTCCTAGGCTTATGTGGTTTAGATTTTAGATACAGAAGCAACCACATTATATACAGGAGAGTCTACCTTCTATTTCTGTCCATGAAAGTCCCCTTTCCCCTTTTCTCACTATTGAATTTACCAGTGGGGCCATCATTCTGAGGCAGGAAGTTTTGGTTCAGCTTAAGGAACAGATTTTTGTGGTGAGGAGTGGGAAACAAACAACTTCATTTTAAAACACTTAATTTATAATGATTAGCTGGTGAATGACTCATAGAATATCATTTTAAAACAATTCTGCATCTTCGTGGTATTCTGCCTGAACAGCAAAATATATCCTCAAATAGATAATGATCCAATGGATAAGTTACACCTTAATAGTTTCAAATAATGGTTCTTGTGATAAAGGGCTTGCCTTTACTAGTCATCTGACAACACTGTTCCTTAAAGGAGAGTTCCTAGTCTAATGGTTCTAGATAGTACTTTCCTCTAATTCAAGTTTCCTTAAATTATACAGGCTTAAAAAATAAATGATAAGGTGCAGATTGGCTCCAATTTGGTACTGTTGATGACTAGAGTTTAATTGACTATAGGGGCATAATCATAATCAACAAGTTAGCTAGTAAAGTTGCTATTAAGAAATGAAAGCTGGTTATAGCGGCACATGCTGACCCTTCAGAAGAAGGAAGTCTGCACTTGCTTGGAGGCCAGGGCAGGAGGATTCCAAGGTCAAGCCCCGCCTTTGCAGTTTAGTAACTTTGTAAGACCCTGTATCATAAAGGGAGGAGGAAGTGTGAATGCAGACCACTGTAAAGGCCTTGAGTATCACAAAACAAAAAAAAGAAACCAAATAAACCTCAATTACTCCATGGTAAAGGTCGAATAGTTTAAAATTTTCTGAATTTATTGTGAATTTTAAAATGCCACCTACATCTAAAATTCTAGGCAAATTCAAAGTTTCAGAGCCAAATACAATTATTTTTAGATTAAACCCAATTTTCTTCTCTTACTAATTTAAGAAATATGAATTGACTTAATATATATATAGAAGATTTATAACAATGCCTGGATATTTGTGTGCTATTATTGCTGTTAATACCCAAGAATTGATGCAGCACAGTGGATTCTATCCACCAATAAGAATAACAGAATGAACAAAAAGCTAGACAAAGTCCTAAGCATATTTTAAGTGAGGCTCCTAGAATAATATAATAATAGATTATGGATGGTACGAGATTGTCCCTAAGACTTCTGGCTGGTTATTTAAAATATGGAAACAGGTTTAATATAATTAAGTCTTTAGGGCATTATTCTTAAAATTTCTGAAAGTTTTGAGCATCTTTCCCCTGAAGCAATTTAAAATGATGGTTTAGAAAACTGCAGAAGTCCCTGAGAGCAAGAAGTATTTAAATTGCCTTCCCAAGTTTGAGGAAGATCCTTTGGAGAATTTCCTGGGCTGCACAGCGGGACAGTGTTTGCACACTGACTTCAAAAGCAAATGCAATGTGCCATAGTCTCAATCTGAATTACTCAGTATATGTCTTTTTACTATAAGCTAAAGCACCCTTTGGAAACATGTTGGACTGTAATATACAGAAGAGTTTGAAAGAATTTATCATCAGTATTTGCTGGATGAAATTTACTGTTGTTATCTCTCCCTAATAGAAACCCCTTCTTTAGGTTTTAATCAAACTCAGGGACATTTTTGTAGAATAATCTGAAAAAATAAGATCGAGGAGAAAGAATTCTGCTTTGTATTGATTCCTAAAAGGTAAGTTAACTTTTCCTTTAGAGATAATTGCTGGAAACTTATGAATAACATTAAGGGAGATTCAGTCTTTATGAACTGGGTTGACATAAGTCATGTGTTGTGGGAATGGAATATCTCTTATTAGAGAAAGTATTTAAGGAATGGAAAATAAAACATTTCAAGAGAATTGTCTTGCTGAGTGTGGTGGCACACACCTGTAATATCAGCACTTGGAAGGCTGAGGCAGGAGTACTACTGTGAGTTACAGGCCAGCCTGTGCTACAAGGTGAGTTCAAGTTCAGCCTGAGCTTTATAGCAAAACCCTGTCTCAAAAAGCCAAAACCAAAAATAGGTAATGACAATAATAATAGTTTTTACATATAGTTAGAAAATTGAGGAAAAAGAAAATATGAAAAATGTATTTGCAGATCTAAAGTAATCTGAATATACAACAATGGTGAATATTTAGGTATATAATTTCTAACTGTAAGTATTTATTTGATCAGCATATAGTTTCTTGATCCTTCCTTCATTACATGTGTCTATATATCGAACAGAATATCATTTATCTTTGGTCCTGCAATGTTACTGCACAATTGTCAGCAAATTTTCACTCTTGGTCAGAATGTAAATATGCTGTTTTTTGGTAAAGTTCTGATTTTGTAGCAATTTACCTAATAGCATCACTTCAATTTTGTTTGGTTCAGTTTAGAAAATATTTGTCCAGCACTAATCATGGGTGAACAATATTTTACTGGACCTTCTACCTGGCATGCTGTTTGGAATAAAACATGTTATTGAACACATCTTTGAATATATCTTTTTTCTTTGAAAAAAGAAAGTAAAGGAAAGCAATGATTTGTTATAAACAAAAAATTGTGACTTATGTTTGTGTATTTGGAGGATTGTTTTAAATATTTTAAAAATTCCTTTTCTTTTTAGTAAAATATTTCCTGGTAACTTTAGAAGTAATATATGTGAGACCCAAACACAATTTAGTTTTTAGATGAGTGAATGAAATAGCCTTCCTTAAAAATATCAAATTCTAAGTTCCTTGTATGAAACTAAAAACAATTTCTGTTATAATAGTTTAATGCGTTTCACTGCAAGATGAGTTGATGTTGTAGAATGTGAATTCACCTTAAATACTAGATGTGATAAAGTATTAGGTTGAATTGGCTAACAAGAGACCATAAAAATGAGTTTTGAGGAATGAAGCTATACTGTACTCTTATGGGAAGGTGATGATACTGGGAAATGTAAAAATTCAAAAGAGAAATTAGTAGACAAGGCAGAAATCAAAATAGTGCTTACCATTTGCTACGCGCTTTACATGTATTACCTTGTTTATTTTGTCAGAAATCTTGTAACAAGGATGTTAAGTTTTCCATGCTATAGCTGAGGAAACTGAGACTCGGAAAAATAAATTGCTCAGAGTCACGTATCTAGTAACCATCCAACACAGAATTTAAATATATATTTTTTCTATTAGGCAAAAGTTAAAAAAAAAAAAAAGAGCAAACAAAATGAACCTACCGATATAGTAAGTTGTAGGGTGTAATGGTTAGAAAAATAATTCTGACAGTGAGACAGCTTCTCAGCCATCATTTACCTGGGAATTGGAATTTGGCTCGCTTGATTTATAACACAGGATTAAGAAAGCAAATCTAAGATTGAGATAAAATAAATGCATGGTCAGCACACAAATGAATCCAGAGTATAACCGGTGAAATTAAAAGAAATAGTGGTAAAGTGTGATGAGAAATAAATACCTTAAAAATGACCAAAGGCATATCTGGGAGTTCAAAGAGGGGTGAAATAAGTCCAAAAGATTCAATTCAAGCCTTCAACTGGTGTCAAATTTTGTGAATAAGGATAAATGAACAAGTGCCTGTTTATTTGCATTGTGAATTCGTTAGACCACTTTCAATGGATTTTGTGTCCGTGAATAAGAATATTACTGGAAATGTGTGTGTCTGGGTGGGGGTGTCTGGGTGGAAGGGACTATTTTTTGAATAATCAGGTGTTGAATAGGATAGGGGGTTCATATCTGACCATTCTTCCTTGAGATTTATTTACTTCTTTTAATGCTTATTGTATTACTGTTGAGATAATCCTGATCTTCCTTTTAATGTAGCTTGTTGTTTTTCTGCTAGAAAGAATTCTGTATTACTTACATGGTTAACAGAAAGATCTCAGATAAACAAGAGCCACAAAAAGCAAGCTTAAGTTTTAGCCAGATTATATGACTTTAGGTTTAACGCTCTCACTTTAAATTTCCTTATGTTTACAATGTTACTATTGTAGTATATAAAAATGTAATATATGAAAACGACTTCAGCAAGTTCCTAGGCCAGGATGAGGATCAATACATTAACTTCATTCAGACTTCTCTTCCTGCATTTTTTCTTTCTTCCTCTCCTGCTTTATTTCACTTCTTCCCTCTTACTGGGTTACTTGCAAATTTTTATATGTATGCATTGGTATTTACAGACCTGTTATTTTAAAGAAATTATTTTTAATTTTTTAAAAAAATTCTTACAGGTAAAAGAGAAACAGTAAAATGGAATGGAAAAACCAAACCGTTCTGGTGGAATTTATTCTGAAGGGGCTTTCTGGTTACCCAAGGCTTGAGCTTCTTTTCTTTGTGCTCATTTTAATAATGTATGTAGTTATCCTTCTGGGCAATGGCACCCTCATTACAATCAGCATTCTGGACTCTCACCTGCACACTCCTATGTACTTCTTTCTAGGGAACCTCTCCTTCTTGGATATTTGCTACACGACCACTTCTATTCCTTCTACACTGGTGAGTTTCCTCTCCCAGAAAAAGACCATTTCCTTTCCTGGTTGCACACTGCAGATGTTTCTTGGCTTGGCCATGGGAACCACAGAATGTGTGCTCCTGGGAATGATGGCTTTTGACCGCTATGTGGCCATCTGCAATCCTCTGAGATATCCCATTATCATGAGCAAGTTTTCCTACATTCCCATGGGAGCTGGGTCCTGGTTTGCAGGGTTTGTCAATTCTGCAGTGCAAACTGCATTGGTGGTCCAATTGCCTTTCTGCAGAAATAATGTCATCGATCATTTTCTTTGTGAAATTCTGGCTGTCATGAAGATGGCTTGTGTTGACATTTCAGACAATGAATTTATCATGCTTATGGCCACGACATTATTTACTTTGATGCCTCTGCTTTTGATTGCCATTTCTTACTCATTAATTATTTACAGCATCCTCAAGATAAGCTCTTCTGAGGGGAGAAGCAAAGCCTTCTCTACCTGCTCAGCCCATCTCACAGTGGTGATAATTTTCTACGGGACTATCCTCTTCATGTACATGTAACCCAAGTCTAAAGACATACTTGATTCAGACAACTTGAACGCTACTGACAAACTTGTATCCATGTTCTATGGGGTGATGACTCCCATGATGAATCCTTTAATCTACAGTCTCAGAAACAAAGATGTGAAGGAGGCTCTTAAAAACCTACTGAATAAGAGGTTCTTTAGCTAATGATTAGAAAAGGTACTGGATTGTGAACAAATTGGACGCTGTCAAAATATGAGAATTATGTTGGAATTTTGGCTTTCTTTGCCTTTTCATGAGTTATGTTACCACTTTTATAATGCTAGATGCCATTTAAGTATTGTTACATGTTCATGAAGAATTTTCAAGATAAAGGCATTGGGATAAGAAAAAATAAGGCAACATAATAGGGAGAGATGAACACTTTCTAACATTTTGAACAGAATCTTCGTTTCCTGTTTTTTGCAGTATTGGAGTTGAGCATTATGTACCTTTTTATGTTGACTTTTTTGCATGCATAACATTATTTCATAGGCCACAACTCATTATATCTTTCAAAATACAAAATGCTTTCAGTTATGGAAATAAAAGCAAAACAGAACAAAACCTAAAATACTTCACTCACTTTCCACTGGAGAACCTTTTGTTTCAATCCTACATTAATCTCCAAATTGTATAAAGCCATTAAATGTCATATATTTTTTCAACATTTAAACTTTTCTGTAACACTGTAAGAGTGCTGAATATTGGAACTATAAAGGGTATAAATAAATAAGGCTTAAGGAAGGCAGGTTACAAAATCAAGATGTTCTTGTTTATATCCTATATTTGTTTTCAGCTCACATGTTAGTATTAGCATAATGCAAATGCAACATTAAAAATGAGCATGAAAATTAGCCTACTGCTTCAGGTAATAACATGGATAAATATTATGTTGGATGGAAAGTCATATCTATTCTCATTTAGAAGACATAGATTTCTTTGACATCCTGAGAAAATTCCAGTATTTTCCCAGATCCTAACACTATGTTCAAGTCCTTGGATTTTAGTGAAAATACCTGTATCCATGTATTCTGTCTTTTACTAACTACCTTTAAAATCTTAGTGATCTGAGGGAACACAAAATTGGATGTCAGAGAAGAGATGGCATTACATTATTTTGCTTTTCCTTGGATTTCTTCATAAGATTTTTTTTTTAACCTTAACTGAAGAATACTTCTGATTTCCTGCCTAATAAGAATTGATTATGTTCATAGTCTAAGAAATTTAGTTAGCTGAATAAATTTTATACTAATGGATAAGTAAGATCAATGTACGTTGGGTACAAACATTTTACACAAAGGTTAAATATTTGTGGATTATTTGGGCATATTCACTCATTTCACCATTTCAAATTTTAGTGAAAGAAATATGAAAAAGTTATAAATTATATTTAATTGCAAACACTTCTATTATATTTACTTAGAGATTAAATCTGATGGTCAAGGGTGAGAATATCAATGAATCAGCCTCACACACTAATAAAACAGCTATGAGAACCTATTAATTCCCATTCACCATCTCACGAGAAGGATTTTTTTCCCCCTAAGAATTTTAGGATTCAGGTATTTTATGTTTTGAACCATGGACCACCTTGGATACTCAGACACTAATATTGTTTTCTTCGCAGTTTAAATCCAGTCATTTTGATAAACTAGCTGGCATGACTGATCTAGGTAGATTTTTGATAGGAAATTAAAGCAAGTAAAATGAAAGTACATATATTTCCTCAAGATCAAGAGGATTTTTCTCACATAAGATCAAGGTCTGAAGAAAAAAACCAATAATTTCCCCCATCTTTATGTGTTCATGGGTTCAAATTTGCTGGGCAAATACACTGTCATTATAATACTGATTGATTTTTAAAAATCACCATACTGATTAAAATGTATCATTTTAACACTTTAATTGCCAGATGTTTTTCCATTCAGAATATTTATTTTGAAAGCTCACAGAGGATAATTTGGTGGTTATTAGCAAAACTTTTTTCTAGCTTATGAGCATAGTCAAATATACTTTAATGATTCATCAAATATTTATCAGCATCTCTGTGTATCTGTTCCTGTGTGATCCACCACATTGCAAAAATCTGCAGGGTAAATTTTTCTGGGCTCTCTTTTTTTCTACTCCCACTGAGCTCAATTTAGAACATAACACATAAAATATCATGTAATATACATTTGAAACCCACAAATGGGAAAACTATGTGAAAAGAAATGCAACATAGGAGAAACACATCCATTTATATTTCACTTCAAAGAACTTTATGGTTAGAAATTAAGACCAGAGATGTAGCAGAAAATCCAAAATTAGATTTTTTTTCTCCAACACATTGTGCTTTATGCCTGATCAGTTTTCAAATACTCTAAGCTTAAGAACATGTTGACTTGTCATGGTCCTGAAGCTTCTGAAATGGACACATCCATCATAGCACTAAAATTTTGTGACATGGCCACAGTGTTACTAATTTATAGATGAGGCTGCAAAAATCAGAGCTGCAAAATCTCATAACATACACATTGTATGGAAAGATATGCATCCTGCTATTCTTTCTGGAACTACTCTCTTGATTTTTCCAGGTTTCTGCTCACCACATCAAATATCAGTACTTCTCAGCAACATATCTAAAATTCTCAACATGTCTCCACAAATGATGCTTAATTAATTTTTACATCAGGGGAAACCTGAATTTGGTTGATACATGAGGAGAGAGTTGACATTAGCACTAATCGTCCAGAAACTAGAAACTCAAAAGGTTTTTCTTATTTCCATGGAGATAATATGTTACAAAAATTGAATTTTTTTTACATTATGATATAAAAATGACATCCATGAAATTATGTGTTCTATTAAATCTTGTACTTCAATATTTTTCATCTTTTGTCAAAATCACTACTTAAATAGGGTGAGATTCCATGCTGTTTGGTTTCATGCGTCTGGAATGTACCATTATTAATTAATTTTTCATTTACTTAAGGAATATTTATTGTACATCCACTGAGTGCTGAGAATGATGCAAGCTACCAGATACTCTTCATTAGTAAATGAAGGGAATGAGGGAAATGGAGCTCTAGCTTGGAGCCAAAGTGATGAATGTGGATCTGAAGTTGGAAAGGCAGTAATTGCCTGTGTGCTGTGATACAAGGTTCCATGTGCTTCTCTTGTTTAGTTAGAGAACTATGTGCCTAGTGACTTGAGCAAAAGAAGCGAGGTGGCATTCAACAGAGCCACTGTCATGGAGGGCGCCAGCAGAAGTGAAGTTGAGGCCTCTTTCTAAGGGCTTTCATGCGCAAGAGTTTAGGTGAAAGATAGATAAATAGCGTGTGTATACTTGCTTCCAGTAAACATGAGAATTCCAAATATAAAACAACTATCTGCTCTGTCCCAGACATTTTCAGCTTTTCTCTTGGTATTATTTTGACCTATAAAACACTCTGTTCTCTATTTCTAAAAAATAAAGCTAGAACAAAATCAATCAAACACTAACCTTTGCTAGCCTCAGTCTAGGTGCGACTTATTTTCGTGCTGTTTTAAACGAAAATTGAAGTGAAAGCTAACCCTGCTGTCTACTTTTTAACCTCATTCGTTCTTCAGCTCAACACAGAGTAGCTCTGCACAGCGCTGGTATTCAGATATTCATGGTTAGATTTAGTACATTGTTTTGGGGCTTCGTCTTACTTGATCTGTCTATAGTATTTTGTATCTTTTTGGAATCACAATTACATTTAATTTGTTTACATGTGTAGGTGAAATATCAATAGTCATATAGATTCACTGTACAATAATCAGTTACTACAAAATGTACAAAGTATGAATTCAAATATGGACATAATTTTATGTAACATTTATGTATAATTTTAAGTAATTTATACATATACAATATGTAATGATTAATATTTACTGAATGAATGTAAATGAATATTCAGAGGATGTACACATTTAGTAAATGTTTTAAACTTTTACATATTAATATTCACTTTTCTGCAACTGACTTTCACTCAAAACATATAATCTTCTTTATAAGATGTTAATGCTATAAATGTACATTGATATTTAAAAATAATTATTTCACTGTATAGATATAGCAAAGTTTTTATGAGTTTATGAAAGTAACAAAATTTATAATTATGTTCTTATATATTAATCAAAATTTATAATGTTTTTAATCTTTATGAAATGAATATTTATATATAAAAATTTATAATATGTTTTTAATCTTTATGAAAGCCCCAATCAGAAACTGACAGGGGGAAACTAAAGTTCACATAGAAATTCAAGAAATCCAGAATAACACAAATTTTGCAAAACTGAAAAACATTGAATTTAGAAGTTGCATTTTAAAAATTTTTTTATTTAAAAAAAGATTAAGATAAAAGAGGACATAACAAAACAAGTCATAACAGAACAGTTTAAGCAACATAGTGTTTTACCACAACACAATCCCATGTAATAGGAGCTACCATGGTGTCTCTGTCCTTGAAATAATTGAGTATACCTTCATATACTATAGTATCAAACATAAAAAGACAGTGTAAAACCATTCAAGAGAATGAAAGTATTACAGGATATTCATAATTAACTAACAGAAAATAAATAAAGGTTACTATATTATTTCATTATCTATAAAATATTATGTTTATACTATCACATATAATAAAATCCTAATAAGATACAACATGATAAAGTGAAGACATAAGAGCAAAAGCTTGGTGGGATTTCAAAACAAGATGACATTAAATCATCACTAGCTATTACAATGTCTTGTTTTCTTCAAAATAGCTGCTCATACCATCTTAGACAATAAAATCAAACAACCCAGAAGGTTGCATATTTTTTGACTTAAAATGTCAAAACTTACTATAAAGCTGTACTAATCAAGACACTGTGATACTGATACAGAGACAAACACACAAAATAGTGGAATGAATTCTTTTTTGATTTTATGGTGAAATAGAGTAATAAGCCTCCTATGATTAGATCCTCAGGACTTTATTTCTGAATTTCAAAAGTTTTGTGCACATTTTATCATTGAGACAATTTAATTAGATCATCGTTTAAGAGGAAAATATTTAAGTTGTTTCCTAAAGCCTAAAGCAGATTTTTAGGAATTTGTGACTTTCTACAATGGCACAATATTTCAAACCAAGCTTAGGAGCAAATTTAATTTGCTCCATTCCTAAAACTTATTACTAGTCAGTAGTTTCTTTCCAATTTTTAAACTAAAGCAATACAATGATAATTTATCTGAGTTGAGATTTATGATATTTTATCCTGGAAATCTTGTCCACATGCTGCGTTTCTACATATATCACCTAGTCAATGAATTTCCGCGACAAAATGATTATTCACTGGTGGCTTCGTTTTTGTAGGTTCAGCTACTAAGGATGAGCCATGGTGACTGACTGCAAATATAAAGATAAAATGAGTTACTATTTTCATAACCTAGAAAGAGAGCAGCTTCTGACTTAGAGGTAAGTTCTAGGAAGAATGAGAAACATATTAACTATAAGCAAGATTTTGATTAATTAATGGTTTAAATCTGTCAAGTTGGAAATGGAACTTTTCCTCCTT